ACTTAGCCGGCTAAGCCGAATTTTAAATATCGACTTAGTCAAGTCGATAAATAAGGATCGACTACAAACACTAGTATAGAGCATGCTTGTGAATTAGAAATTGAAAATAATACTCATGAAATTGGTATTCAAACTGATGATAAGGAGACTAGTGAGATTGGTGTACAAGTATATAATAATATGTCATATACCCTTGATAGTTATATTCGTCAATTACAAGCGCAATTAAACATAAAAATAAATGAAATAGAGGATCATAAAAAATGATTAGAGTATGCGTACGATTATGTGATCGAAAGTTGGGAATGTGTCCAAGAAATTAATATAATAAATAAAGAACTAACTGAACAGAATAGTGCGTTAAAGTATAAATAGAAAAACTGATATAATAGTCAAAAAAAAAAGACTTGATTCCTCAATTCAAATTGCAAACCAAGAATGCCAAAGTGTCTATAACGATATCAAATCATTGATTTTAAATAAGCAACAGTTTTCACTTAATAATTTGTTAAATTTTATACCTGATAATTGGTTAGCTAATCGTAATCCAGTTCTTGTGAATTTATTAATACTCTTACATATAATGAAAGTAATAACTATAATATTAATATTTCTAATGAAAAGATTTTTAAAAAAATGGTTGCAGTCAACGCTATATATGGATCGAGACATAAAAACTACGTATTAGAAATAAATCTTGCTATAACCAGAATTAAATATTCAATAGCGCGATCTAAAACAATTATTAACATTGATAACCATATAATTAGTTCTAGAAGTTATACAAGATTCGTTAACTAGCTAGAATCGCTAGCAATTGAAATTGATCCTTTATTTAAAGGACTCTTATTTTTAGCCTTTGATAATGAGCAGTGAGGTCAATATAATTATCTTGATCACAGTCATAATACAGTTATATATCATACAGTTACAAGTTTTGTTGCGCTAAACATGATCAGAAATGATCATGCTCAATTTATGATTGCTCCTTGGCTTTGTGATTCGCTAACTGATAAACAGTATAAAAAACTATATTATATTATGCCCGAAATGCAAGAAGAACACGAATTAGAATTAAAAATATACTTATCATCGATTTTAGAGAAGCTTATTTCTAAAAAAAATGAAAATATCAATACTATTGATCTAATCATAAAAAATCAAAAAGGTGTTGGGAGTCAGTCTAAATGGTGTAAAAAATGCAATATGACTAATATCGATAATAGAAAATGTAATTGTTCTAATTGCAATGAAAAACTAGACACGTTGGCTACTTTACAAAAAGAATCCCTTAACGAATTTACCAAAATTAATATAGCATCCCAATCAAAATCTCTTGTAATAAAGCCTTATACATATATTCATGAACAAAAAAGTTCTAATTTTGATCGTATTAGTATTATACAATAATCAAAACCTGAGTATGGCGTTATTGTTCCTGAAATGTACGTACCCAACCTGTTAGAGTTTAATCCTAATTCAGTAAATAATGTCAAGAAAGTTTTAGAATACATAGAAAATATTACGGAAATAGACAAAGAAGAGCGAAAATTGTTACTAGTTACTTGCGATGGTGTTCCTTATACTCTAGCTCAAAAAATTAAAAAAGATTTTCTGTAGCTTATATTGATTCCCAGTGCTTTTCATGAGGAAATGAATATGCTTAAGGCATTTGTAGAATTAAATTGATACTTATTTTATTATTATTATTATTATACTCTTGAATCTGAAATACTATTATCTTACCTATGTTAACTTATTTTTTAAGGATGATTGATATCAAACAATTTGCTTCTCTTCAAGGATACAGAACTGAAAATCAACTTGGATTTTTTAAGAAGTGTTCTGATCATCACAAATTTTAGGACTCTATTTGTAATATTTACCGATATGCCATCACATGTGAATTATTATGGCTATACGTAGCTGCGACAGAAAGTCCATCAGTTGATGGCTATTTGGATTGGGCAAAAAAACAAAATGATCACATATACAAATTAAAATTTGAACAAGTAAGACTTTTAAAATATATTGAATAATCTCTAAACTTTTTACTAACAATTATTATAGACATTTACATATCTTCAGGCCATCATTAATTTTCGTACGAGAGTTAGAAACAATAGATCATCATTGGTAAGCGCTGCTCGACGTATATTTGCTCCGATATGGTCAGGTCGTAGGCACCCTATGTATCGTTTAATTGAGATAACCTATGAAGAGTAGTTGATGCAATTAAACCCTGAAATTAAACAATATATAGAATTATATTCAGTTATCTCATGATCAGGCTATGGTAATCAATATCAAGGTCTTGATACTATTCTCGAGGAAGTCAATAAATCTTTAAAGGCATTAATTCTACCTGTATCTTTACAAAAACATTGGAGAATAGCAGCACATAATTGTACGAAGTTTATGAAGGTTAATAAATTATATTTGCATTTATAAAAAAAAAGCTATGCCTGTACTTACAATGCATATTTTTAATAATTACTAGCTTCGTCGTATATTATTTAATATGATTGGGCATATGGATAATGAGTTATCAGAAGGTCGAGCACATCCAGACTATATATTAGAGTCATACCGATTTCAAGTTCATTTGTGTAAAACTAGGTTCTTGAATCCTCAAGATAATAATCGTGATTTTAAAAGTCTTGAAAGGGAACATCCACTTAGCGAACAGCTAAAAAATTTTACAAATTTAGCATATGAAAGATGAATAATGCTTATAAATGAGACTTTTAGAATGGAGAGCCATAAACCTTACCTCGACCAATACCTATTACTGCTCAGGAAGCAGAAGCAGCCGTGAGTGAAAAAAATATAACCAAAAAAGAGCTTTTAGCAATTATTAATTCATTGTTAAATTTAATCAATACTTCAGATCATCCAAAATATCGTGGGTTACCACAAAAAACTAATAATCAATTGCTAAAAATCATACAAAATATTCGAGATCTACATAATAATCAAAATGAACTTGAAAATAAGATAGAACTAGAAAATTAAAATAAATATGTAATTATTATTAATTTAATAAACCACGATTATACTTTTAGTAAATTAAAAATCAATCAATACTTAGTCTTCATCATTTACAAAGTTATAATATTTAAAAATTATTTGAGATCGACTTTTAGCATGTATAGTAAGCTTGAGCCAAAATAGAAGTCTTGGTAGAGTGATCAAGATGTTTGTTTGAAAGAAGAAGAGATGACTGTTACTGTTCAAAGAAGTCTAATTATAAATTGCATTGTTATTAAAAATACAAGAAAAAGCAGTAAATGTATCCTTCAATACTTATCTAATGGCTCTTCTCGTTTCTTGTTCTACATAAAGAATTTAATTAGTAATGCTAATTAATCATACAACCCTCATAAAAAAAGTCTAATTACGAAATTTGTATACATATCTGATACTGGCAAGCCTTTGCAACTAGGTGCCGTTTTAAAGTTTAGAAATCAGAGATCAAACTGGTATGATATAACAACTAATTATTTCACAATACAGTAAATCAAAAAAAACTTTAACGCAATTGTCACGATCTAGGACAGTAGTAGTTCGGTTGCTTTTTCTGCTTTCGCTTCTTATATTTATACAAAAATGGTTGGCCAATCAGGTTTAGCTTTACTCCTCAAATTCTAGAAAATTTCTGTACTATTGTACAATGCAGATCATTGCAAAATTTAGAAATGCCAAATATGGAAATATCCCTGACTGTAATAACTAATATTCAAATTATATATTTCTAGTTTTCGTATGCTAACAAAGTTGTAGAAAAGTAAAGTGGTAGTTAATAATCATGATTGAGATATATAGTGGTATAAGTATTATGATTAAAATTATTATCAGGTATGTTTCAAATATATATCAAAAGTTAAAAAGTTACTAATAACTTTTGGGTTGTAAATTTTGAAAGTTAAAATCAGAAGTTTTTTATTAGTAGAACTGGTAAAAATTTAGTAAAAATTATGAATATTTCTAAAGGTAAAAAGTTGAAGTTTAAATACATTTTGAATAATCTGTATATATTTATTTCAATTTTTCGATTGTTATTAAGACTATAATATAAATTCTAATTATTGTTTTTAAATTTTTATCTGTTCAGAATTAAATCATTCCCAATAAGCAAAGCTTATATTCTTTTATGCATTTTGGTGTTAAAGATATTGATATTTGTATCACAGGTCTTATCAATCTAATTTAAGATTTTGTGTAAGTCAATATTCGATTAAATTAATAGTAGAGTTTTTCTAAATTTGTATTTGATAATTATCAGCAGATTTTTTAAATAACATGTATACTGAATTCTTTATTATAGCTATTGCAATACATGAGGCCTTTAGCTACATGCTTTTGCTATTATCCTGCTAATACCTATGTATCCATCAAATCATGCCAGATTATTAGCTGAATATACAGGCTATAGTAAAGAATCTGGTATACATGATATTTGAAAAATTTTTCAATGATTATCAAATACAAATTTAGAAAAACTCTATAATTAATTTAATTAAATATTGATTTACACAAAAAATCTTAAATTAGATTGATAAAATCTATAATACAAATATCAATATCTTTAATGCTGAAATGCATAAAAGAATATAAGCTTTGCTTATTAGGAATGATTTAATTTTGAATAGATAGAAATTTGAAAACAATAATTAGAATTTATATTATAGTCTTAATAACAATCAAAAAATTGAAATGAATATATACAGATTATTCAAAATGTATTTAAACTTTGACTTTTTACTTTTAGAAATATTCATAATTTTTACTAAATTTTTACTAGTTCTACTAATAAAAACTTCCAATTTTAACTTTCAAAATTTACAACCCAAAAGTTAGTAGTAATCTTCTAACTTTCGATATATGTTTGAAACATATCTGATAATAATTTTAATCATAATACTTATACTACTATATATCTCAATCATAATTATTAACTACTACTTTATCTTTTGACAACTTCATTATATGAAAACTAGAAACATAAAATTTGAATATTAGTTATTAGCTATACTTTGTACTTCTATAGCATATATTTTCTTATATTTATATCATATTTTACTATATTAAATATTATAACTATTGCATATTATTAATAAATAAACTATTTATAAAAGAAAAACCATATTGACAAAATAATACCAAGTGAATTAACTAATCGTCTTAAAAGTTAATTAGTATACTTAACTGTAACTACTACTGGACTAAAGTCATAACTACCAACAGAAGTAAATTAGCGTGCACTTACTGTATAAAGAATCTAAGAATACTACCTTAGAAGACATACTATATTGTGACTAAAAGTATTAACAATTAGATGATAACAATCAAGCATATAATAATCAGAAGATAATAAATGAAAATAATTACCAACCTCATGATTTTGAGAACAATCTAACTGATAATATTCATAATATTAATAATTTTAGTTTCAAAACAAATAAACAGAACAAATACAACAATACTAGCAGATGTAATTGTAATAAGTATACTAGCTACCTCAACACCAACAAGCTCCACAACAACAAGTACAACAACAGATAAGAATATGCCCACAAAAAATAATCAAAGCAAAACAACGATAACAATCATTACTGCAACACAAAGCTCTGACAACAATGCCATTAACTTACTATTATTAGAGAAATATTGGGAATACTAGCAACAATATTGACAACAATAATATCAATACTTATATTTTGTATTAAAAGAATAACAA